TTCTGTGTCTGCGCAGCTCTACATGTAACAAGATATGAATAGGAGACCAGAGTTGACTAAGGTTAGAATGTTTTCATTATTTAAATTTGAATAGAAAGAAAGGCCCTAACAAATGTTGACACAGTTTGTCTACTTAGATAATTAATCCATTAATAAATAAATGCTTTAGAAGTTTTTTTTTTTTTTATTGGTTTTGTTTCTTAAAGGCAGGTCTCCTTATATAGCCTTGGCTGGCCTAGAGCTTGTTTTGTATCCCAGGCTGGCCTCGAACTCACAGAGATCCACATGGAAAGGTACATACCACTACACCTGCCACTGTGCTCAGTTGGAAATTTTTAAATGTTTTGTATGTTGTTTTATGAAGCAGGCCATGGGGCTAGAGAGATGGCTCAGAGGTTAAGAGCACTTACTGGTCTTGCAAAGGACCTAGGTTCAGTACCCAGCACCTACATGGTGGCTCACAACTGCCTGTAACTCCAGTTCCAGGGGATCAGACATCATCTTCTATCCTCCTCAGGCACTGCACACAAATAGTATACATGCAGGAAAACATTTACATGCTTAGGGGGCAAAGGTACTTGGCTTTCCAAGCCTAGGATCAGAGTTTGATCCTGGGAAAACCATGCAAAGGCAGTGGAGAATTGTTTCCACACAAGCACAAGGCATGGACCTCCTCTCTAACACACAATAATACATTGAAAAAGAGAAATTAGGCATGGTAATCTAATCATTCAGCAGGCTGAGGAAGGAAGATTGCCATGAGTTTGAGATTGGCCTGGGTTACACACCAAGACCCTGTCTCAAAAAGTAAGTGGGTAAGAGCAATGGCTATTAAGCCTGATAACCTGAGTCAAATTCCCAGGACCCACAAGGTAGAACCAGAAAAAGGACTGTCACAAGTCATCCTCTGACCTCCATATATACTCCATAATATGTCCCATCACCCCCCCCACACACACACACCAAATAAAGCTAGGCTTTCACATTTAAGCTCAATGGGAAGTTGAGTGTGCTGGCTAGTTTAATGTCAATTTGACACAAGGTTCAGTCATCAGAGAGGAAGGAGCCAAAATTGAGAAAATACCTCTGTAAGATGGGACTATACACAAATCCCTGTAGGGCATTTTCTTAATTAATGATTGATGGGGAGGATCCAGTTAATGGTGGGTGGGGCCACCCCTGGGCTGGTGGTCTTGGGTTCTTTGAGCAGGCTGAGCAAGCTATAAGGAGCACCCCCATAGCCTCAGTATCAGCTCATGCCTCCAGGTTCCAGCCCTGCTTGAGTTTTGTCCTGAATTCCTTCAATGATGGGCTATTATCAAAATGTAAGCCAAATAAACCCTTTTCTCTCTAACTTGTTTTTGGTCATGGTGTTTTACAATACAGCAATAAGAACCCTAACTAGGATACCAAGGTAGAAGGACTGCCATGAGTTCAAAGCCAGCGTGGGCTACAGAGTAAGAACCTATCTTACTCTTAAACAAGACTCAATTTTTTTTTTCTTTTTGGTAAAGTACTTTAGGCCATTTGTTTAATAGAAATCTACCTGTTAATAATGCAGATGACAAAAAACACATACAAAATCCAACTAGAGTTCCTTAATCTATCCAAAGAGACAGCTGGTCCCAAACTATCTAGCAGCATAAGCTAAGGGTCTACGTTTACTAGCATCTCCAAATGTCTCTAGTGAATGGATTCATGAACAGCACCCCCATGAGTGGAGTCCTGTCTTCCTAACAGGTAGCTGGCTAGAATAGTGGTGTCATTGCCTATAATACCTAGTATAAAGTCACACTCCTTTAATCCCAGCACTGGGGAGGCAGAGACAGGAGGATCTCTGTGAGTTCGAGACCAGCCCTGATCTACAGAGTGAGCCCCAGGACAGATTCCAAAGCTACAGAGAAACCCTGTCTCAAAAAAAGAAAAAAAAGAAAAAAAAAAAAAAAACTAGTATAAAGAAAACAATATGTTCTTGAAAAAACAGTTAACAGTTGTAAATTGTGTTCAAAGTTTAGTTCTAGGATGGTTCGTATGGTGCACGCACACAATCCTAGAACACAAAATATACAAAACCATTTAATATAAGTTAGCAAAATTGAAGACAATGTGCTCAAAAGAGCAGCTATCATTCTTCCAGAGGTATATTGTCATGCCAACAGTTGGGATTTCACATCTTTCATTTGTACTCTATATATTGTTTGTAAAGCTGTAGCAAAGTCCACTGTGATAACAGATGTAAAAGGGTTTGGAAAGTACAGAAGAAATTCCAAGGAAATTGACAGTAAATAAATTCAGATATTAGGACTTGTAATCTTGAAGATGTGACAATTTCATTTTTGATCAGAAGAATCCCACACATAGCGTTAAACATGCTTTGTTTACTGTTCAGTAAAAATTGAGATATTACAATTGGTTGTTCTGACAACTTTCTGGGGAGGCAGGTTTGGGTGTTAGATAATCTAGGGCACTGGATAGAGGAGAGCTGTGAAAATAGTAATCCTGTGTGAGAGAGAGCTTCAATTCATGTTAACAAGTATTAAATCAAGTTTCTATTATGAAGTGTTATATATGATGTTAGACATGGGAGATACCAGCTTGCCCTTGAAGATTTTTGGGTGCTTAAATATGACCAAAAAAAAAAAATCTCTTGCTTGGATTATATGAACTGCTTTCGTATAGTAAAATGTTGCAATAGCATGATGACTGCTTCAGTCCTTAAGTATCAAAGTAGGTCATCAATCCTTATGGGGCAAATCTGAAATAGTATAAATGTATGACACATTTGTCTTCTGGACATGGAGAAATGTGATGGCAAATCGACATTGTAACTGCTAGGTACCTTCAATTACAGAAGTACAGGGATCCATCTGGGCTTAAGTCATTGCACATTAAGGGATCAAGACAGAGAAATAAATAACAAATTACCAGCTCTTCAAAGAAACACCTGTTTTCTTTTTCTTTTCTAAGTACAGGTCATTCAAGTCTACTCAAATTCAGTGGAATTGTGAACAAGCAGCAGTATTTTAATAGCCAACTCAAAGAGACAACAATTTTCACTACAAGTTTAGAGTGGGAATAATTCTCTAGAATAGCACAAATAGGATGCTTGGAAGAATTCCCTGACGACCACTCTGCATGGCGGTTAAGAACATTTGCTCTGGAGTCTACAATGAAAACCTTATTTTCCCAACAGTATCTCCTTGAGCCAGAGGTAACCTATGGCAACACATGGTGTTATTGGGAGAATTAAAGGCACCTATCATTGTGTTACGAGCCTATCAGTGTCCTTAAGCACAAAATCCTACTACGATTGTGCAAGAAAATGGGCCACTGGCTTCAGACTGAGGGCACTCCGAGATTGTTCTCTGGAGATGCTGCAATCAAGAAAGCCAAGGCAAGATAATTTCTAATTGAAAATCCGAATTGGGGAAAAAAAATGATAGAACTCTTCTCAAATAAGTGTACTGGCACCCGATGAACGACAGCTAAGTAACAAATCAGAACAAAACAGTATGACACCCAACTGACTAAGTTGTACACTGTGATGCCAAGGTCTGAACAGTGTCTACAGGCTCCTCACCCCGAGTGTGTGGAATCAAAAATACTAGCTCCCATGTCCGGCTTTAAGGAGTCCACCTAACTCTAGCCTCTGCTTTCTGGGAAACAAGATAACAAAACATTACTCTCACAGAGTGATGGCATGGGTACCGCACAGCAGTACTGCCCCACCACCACCTGCAGCGGCTTGCAGACTCTGCGGGCCATGAAAAGCGCATGAGGGCGGGCAGAGCAGCAGGACCAGGAGCAGAGTCAGCAGCTTGCTTCTAGAGCGGAGCACACTGGTTCACCCCTGCCTGCCACCTCAGAGGTTCCCCAAGGAGATGGAGCCTCTTATCCCCTGAGAAAGCGCTTTTTTAAAGCACCGAACATCATCCAGTGTTGCGCATCCGCAGGGCCGAGGGCCGAGGGCCGCGCGCTTGCTCCGGGTGACCGGGATGGGCGGATCCGCTGCCAGGTGAGCAGGATGAGCCCCCGGCAGCGCATCCCAGACCACCAGCCCAAGGCACTTTCTAGCACTTTCCACACCTGCCGCCTCCCGGGCCTCCGCCCCCAACCCCGGAAACCTCGCCCTCACCTTGTTGGAGGTCCCGGTGGTCGTACCACGGCTCATCCTCTATCTCGAAGTCCTCCACCAGGTTATCTGCCAGCATGTCGCCGGGGGCGTCCGGGGGCAGCGGGCTCTGCCGCCACCGTGCCGTCTCGGCCGCTGCCCCGGGCTGTCCCCCGGCTCCTCCGCCCTCAGCCAGAGCCGCCCTCGGGCGGGACGCGCCGGCCCCGCCGCAACTCCCGCCGCCGGGCCGCGTCCGCCTCGCGCCGCCCAACGGCCAGCGCCCTAGCGAGCGCACCCCGGGTGGTACCCGGAGCCGGTTCCTCACGCCCGCTGCCCGGCCCAACGTGGCACTTTGGCAGAGCCCTCCCAGGCCGGGGAGACGATTCAAACCCGGGCGGCGCCTTGACCAATTGCGAATGGGTCCCCAGAAGAGCGACAGCGACTTCAGCCAATAGTATCTCAAAGAAGGTCGCGGGCCCGAGTACCATTGGCCAATAGAGGCTCGGGAAGGAACAAAGGAGGCGGGTAAAGGCGGAGAGGGTGCGGCCGGCAGCCCCGCCCCTTTTGTTAGCGTCGCGTCTTCTCAGTGAGTACACTCCAGTTCCGGAGTGTGGAGGCGGCGGTGGTGGCCACCTTCTCGGCTCCCTGGCGTGCCTTGTAGCCAGCTGCGGAGGACTCCTGCCTCTGGGCAGTGGGCATCATTTTCCCACCGGAAGGTTTCGGAAGCGGGCCAGCCCTCCTCAGCTTTGCCCTCGGTGATGCGCGGCGGTCCGTCGCGAGGTTAAGGCCGAGAGAACGCTGTTGAGCCAAAGCTGCTCCTGAATGTCTGAGCCCTGGGGGGATGGAAATCAACTCCTAAAACGGCAGTCACCAACTCCACTTGATATTTGGAGGCCGGGACCGGCCCGTGGGAGCCACCTCCCGTGGGAAAAGTTGCCAGCAGTTTCGCATAATTTTGTTTTAAAGGTTCATAGAGCCCAAGATAAACACCCGGGTGCAGGCGTTGCACTTGTGGCCAGCAAGGCAGTGTCCGCTTGGTGACGCAGACATATTAGTTTCTTGGGTTGAGTTTTTAGCACCTTCTGGTACCTCACACGTGAAAACTCTAAAACGGAGAAAGGTCGGCGCAGCCGTTTAGATGTTAGAGCTAATTAGATAACGTAGGGAGGAAACGAGAAGAATTAACAAGGGGAGAGAAATGTTAAGCTTTGGCAATATTGAGTGGCTAGATACCTGTTGAAGTTAGTACAGATCCGGAGTGTCACCAGAACTAAAATGGAAAGCAGTTATGTTTGCCTTATCAAAAACAAAAACAAAAACAAAAAAAAAACCCAAAAAACTATGGTTAAAATTAGGAGAAATTGCTAGGAAGACGTTACAGATCCTGTTACCTTTTTTCCCCCTCCATATAATTAAGATCTTGGGTAATTTGGAGAAAGGAAAACTTCATCCTAATTCATTTTTTCAGTGTTAAGGATGAACCTAGTGCCTTGTGCATGCCAATCAATCACTACCCCTAAACTACACCTTCAACTCATCTTCATTTTTTTGTGGGTTATAAAATGTACCTTGCTCAAATCATTGTAACACTAAGTCCCTGCTCCTGGGATAGTGGTATGGTGAAGGCCAAGAAAGCCTCCCCAGTGTAAGGTTTTTTTTTTTTATTGTTTGCACAGAGTTTCACTGTATAACCCCAGCTGGCCTGACACTATGTAGATTAGGCTGGCCTGGAACTCACAGAAATCCATCTGACTCAGCCTCCAAGGTGCTAAGATAAAAGCCATGCATTACCACATCCTTTCCCTACAGTGAAGGTTGTTCTGGGAGGTTTTCCTCTTCATTCCTAAAGGAAGTCCTCTTAATAGACTAGAAAGTACCAAGAACCTAGAGTTAGAAATCTAGGTGTCTAGCCACAGTTTGTACTAGCAAAGAAGGCGTTAACAAACCAGTTAGGGGAGAGATGACTTTTTACTCAACATAGTTGTGAGAATCAAAGAAACTGTACCCAGTAAAGCTGTGTTATTTCTAAAACTTACTGTGAAGGTATCATTAAGAACAACAGTTAGCATCATAATAATATACATTCTTCTCTTTGCCTCCCTCTTTTTTTTTTTTTTTTCCTTCTGTGGTACTGGGGGACCACTCACATGCAAGGAAAGTACCAAGTCACAGGTTCCCAGCCCACAAGTATTAAAATAAGTAGTTATAGTAACAGATTGCAACCTGTTAATGATGAGTCCATGATGGTATAAATTAAATGAGAAAGTTTTTCTTATAGGGGAATGGCAACTAAAAATATAAAAGTAATGACAGAGTAATATTAGTTGGGTATGGTGATACCCTCAGCAATGGGATGCCAGCCTGGAATACATAGCAAGACCCTGTCTCAGAAAACAAAACAAACAAGCAAAACAAAGTAGAGCAGACCAGATAGGTCAGTGGGTAAAGGTGCTTGCTTCCTTGTCAGACAAGCTGAGTTTGATGCCAGAACCCACATGGTAAAAGGCAAGAACTGACTCCTACAAGTTGCCCTCTGACTGCCACATGCATATTGTGACATTCCCACCTCCCTAACACAATAAATGAATATAATCTTAAACAAGTAGTAACATTAACAGAGTAATAGTAAACTGGTAAGTCCCTTCTGAGTACAAGTACACTAAAAGGCAAGATGCCACAGGTCAACTTTTCATTGCTATATTTTTGAAACAAAAAACTAAGTCCCTTGTAAAACCTCTTCTTCCAGAAATGCCAGTATATCAGTCCAGACACAAAATGAGACATGTAGAACCAATTATCATAATCAGACAGAACTCTGTGGAAAGAAAGAAAATTCAATTTAGAACTTGCAGACTTGTGGCAGCTGAAGGCTTGGAATCATGCCTCTGACCTCTGACCTCTGACCTCAGTCAGTGATCTGGAAGACCCAGATGGTGGCTGTTTTCTCCAGGGTAAATCCATATCACACATCAACTCCAAATACAGAGGTGTATTGGAATGTTCTTTAACAATTTTCAGAAATAAGGAACAAATCCTACACATTTTATTTTGGGATGGGTCTGTGGGTTCACTTTTAGGGATGCTGTCTTCAGAGACCACCTTTGTGTGTGTTCTGCAAAATCCTGAACAAAAAGTGCATTGAGAAAAACCTTTGGAGCTAAAAAGCCTTGTCTTACAAGGGTCTTCTCGCAGCAGTCATAAACAGCATCTGCAGTTATAAAACTTGGCCTAGAATCGGGTTAGTGAATAACTATGCAAGTTGATGCTAAATAGAGGGGTTTGGCGTTTACTTAATAATTTACCAGTGTACAGTCTACTTTCCCAACCTTACCATGACTGCATCCTGGTGCTTTTAGTCTCTTCTATATAAAACACTTCTAGGTAAAGACAAGTTGGCTTCTGGAAACCTTTGTTCTTGGCTGTAAAGATGAAACACTCTCCACATTGTAGAGTAAAATCATGTTAAGGGAGCTTTTTAGTTATAGCAGCTTTTAAAAGATGAGAGGTGATTTTTAGTTTGATACTGAAATAAACCTTGACTAGATGTAATTGAAAGGAAAATATTCATTTTTGTTGAGATAATTAAGGAAGATATTTTTCCTTAATTATATGTAAGTAGTTAAGAGTTTTTCCATAATGTTTAAAACTTTGTATTCTTCAGACAGGCTGGGAATTTAGAATTCTTTGAAAAGTTCTTATTTTGAACTTGGGGAGCTTATGAGACTTTGCAAAAATCCAAGTCTGTGAATATCTCCCTTCTGACTAAATGATAGAATGGTTCAGAAAAGCACAGCATACTTATGCTAGGAAGCATGAAATAAAAGAAGAAGGAAAAAAAGTCTAGATTTTTGTGGGCTAAGTTTGTGTCTTGGTTTTGGGCTCTACTCTCCCACCTTTTTTTTTTTTTTTTTTTTTTGACTGAGTAACAAGGTGACCTTTAACCTCAGTTTTCTTTTGAATTTACACCAAAAGTAAATCCCTAGGGTGAACCTCCCCCATTTCTTCCAGCTTCTCTAGTTTGAGAATTACCTTTTAAAGCCAAAAATGTGGACGGACCTTGTGATACTGTAGTCCTTGGACTTCTTAAGCCTTGAGAACTGCATAATGATGAAAAACATTTTTATTTTATTATTAAAGCAGAATTTACATGTGCTGGAGAGATGACTCATCAGTTAATTGCAGCTCAGGGTGAACTGATACCATGGCCTCCACAGGAACCTACACTCAATGGACATACCAGCTCTGCACCACCCCCATAATTAAAAACAAAAACACCCAGGCCAAGTGGGGTGACACACACCTCTAATCCCAGCACTTGGATAGCAGAGGCAGGCAGGTTTGAGTTCAGCCTGGTCTACATAGTGAGTTCTATGATGGCCAGGGCAACACAGAGAAAACCAATCTTGAAAAACCAAACCAAACAAACAAACAAAAACTCCAAATACATATGGATAAAACATTTTCATTGTTATTTCAGTACTGGAGATTTTATCCAGGATCATCCTCGTGTTACACAGGCACTCTAACAAATAAGCAACAGGCCAAGCAAAAACATTCACCATTAATCTACTGAATCTAGTGTTTCATATGGAGTTAGTAGCCCTTTTTGTTTGTCCCTGTCTGTGAAGCAGGGTCTCAATGTTTAGCCCAGGTTGGCTCCAAGCTCATGATCTTCCTTCTCCAGTCCCCAAAGTGCTAGGATTACAGGTATGCACTAGCATGTCCAGCTTAATAACCCCCCCTTTTTTGATAATTCTGGAGCTCTATGGTGCATACAATTAAACTACTTATTGGGTTTATCAGTTTGGAAACCAACAATTGAAGAGGCAGTGTGATACAAATTTTCCCAGAACCTAGGCTGGTCTTGAATTCACTTCTTTGAATCTCCTATCTCAGCCCCCCCAGAGTGATGGGATTACAGGTCTATACCACACCCAACTTTTGTCATTTTTGGTTTTCTCTGTGGTTTGGGGGACCAATAACTTGGTCATCTGTGATGATAGTTCTCTTTCAACTTGCCTTCCCCATCCCTAAGGAATTGGGCCCTGCAGACTGAGTTGTCTGCTTTAATTTGTTCCAGAAACTCTAAGGTTAAAGCAGAAGCTAGAAGACTATTCAAGCAAGTAATATCCTCAGATTATGTGGCAATGCATCTCTTTCCCAGTTCAGTAAGCCTATAGAGAACTGGTAAAATTATATAGTAAACCAAGGATAATGAAGACCAGTGGGATACAGTAGTACAGGCCTCTAATTCTACCATATAGGAAGCTGAAGCAGGAAGATTCAGAATTCTAAGCCATTCTGAGCTACATTATCTTAAATGTGTAATCAATCAAGTTTTAAAAGGTTAATCTTGGCTGAAAAGGTGGCTCAGTTGGTAATATGCTTGTCTAGCGTACATGAGACCCTGAACTTTATTATCTGTCCTATGCAAAGTGGGCATGGTGGTGTACATCTGTAACTCTAGCACTTAGAAGGTGGAGGCTGTTCAGGACCAGCCTCTGCTACATAGCAAGTCTGAGGTCAGCCTTTGAACTCATGAGATCCTGTTGGGAAAATAAAACAAAAACAAGCTGAATTTACATCTCCCTACTGCTAGTTAACCTTCCTTTATTTTCCAATTGTACAGATCAAAGGGTAAGGTGATAGGCTATATTTAAGAAGGGCTTCTAAATTAGAACAAGAATATGTTATTTCTGATTCCTCTTTGATATGGCTTTTGAATCAAAGTTGTAGACAGATTTTTCTTTGGGCTGCTTATTCACAAATAACATGGAGACGTATTAGTAATAAAAGCTCAGACTTAGTTTAGCTTTGTTCCTAACTAGTTCTTTTAACTTAAATTAACCCATATCTTTAAATCTACATTTTTTTTTTTTTTTTTTTTTTTTTTTTTTTACATCTCTTGGTTACCTTTACTCTATACTGCCCATCCTGTCTCAGGTTAGTGACTTTGCCTTCCTTTCTCCGCTCATTCTCGGCTCACAAGTCCCACCTATCTCTCCTGCCTAGCTATTGGCTGTTCAGCTTTTTATTACACCCAATCACAGCAATACATCTTCACAGTATGCAGCTATGTCACAACACAAAGCTTCATAGTCCATCAAGAGAAGGTCACATAACTCTTGCACTATTCGTGAGTGCTGTGGAATGAGCAGCTCATCACAGATAAGGATCTTCTATTTCTTCTCTGATTTTAGCAAAAGGCTGCCATCTCACTATTCATTTTCTTTTCCTCCTTCTCAACTAGGGAGGCTGATGCATAAACTTATCTCCTTGACCACAGCTAAACATGTTTAAACTCTTGCCTAAGTCAAACTTTATAATTCAGAAGACACATGGAAACTTAAGTAGAGACCGGAGAGATGACTCAGTTGTTAAATCACCTGCTATGAAAGCATAAGGGCCTGAGCTCAATCTGCTGCATCCATGTGAGAAAACAACAGTCAGGTGGTGGCATATGTATGACTGTAATCATAGCTTTGGAGAAGCAGACACAGGAGGACCCTGAGTCTTTGTAGTCACTAATCTTGCCAAATAGGTGAGATCCTGGTTCAGTGAAAGACTGTCTCAAATAAATAAATAAATAAATAAATAAATAAATAAATAAGTGAAAAAAAGTTAAAAGCAAAGCAGAAGATACTTAGTGTTGACATGTGGACTTTGCACCCACCCACGCAAACTAACTAGGGTCATATTTTATACAATCTGGGGATCATGAAACATCTCAAAATGTTGAATAAGTATAAAATAAATAGATAAAGAAATCTGGTGGCTTTCACAGCAAGTATTTTTGGATTTTTAACTAAAATTACTAATTAACCATCAACTCCTGTATGCAAATAATGAATTTTAACCTCTTTTTTTTTTTTTTTTTAACAGGAGGGAAAACTTTCTCTGCATGAAAAATGACATTTTTAAATATAAAATCCGCAGCCTGGGCATACTCTCTGATTACACTAGGAACTGAAATGTTAAGTTCTTTCTTCAGTTTCTACTGTGTGAAACTTTTCTTGGAACTGTACAAGATTTCAGCGTTGGCCTTTTATCAATCCCAGGTAGATGCAAAATGTTTACTCCTTAAATGCAGGACAGGACTTCCTTTTTTTTTTTTTTTTTTTTTTAACTAGAAGTATCTACTGTATTTTATCAAAGAGTGGATTCTTCACATACCTGCAAAAGGTATGCTATGGGAAAAAAAAAACCCAAAAACCAAAAACAACCCTATAATATCAGTATTTAAGAAACTGAGTCTGGAAGATTGCTGAGAATTCAAGGCTGGTCCAGGCCACATAGATAGGAGGAAAGGGAGGAAGAGAGCAAAAGGCAAAGGGAATGGGTTGGGAGAGAAGAGAGGGGAGAAGGAGATACTTACTGTTTTAGTCATGGTTACTATTGCTGTGATAAAATATCATAACCAAAAGCAAGTTGGGGAGGAAAGGGTTTGGCTTACACTTTCATATCAGTACATCACTGAAGGAAGTCAGGGTAGGACCTCAGACAGGGCAGGAAGCTGAAACAGGAACTGATACAGAGGCAATAAAGGAATGTTGCTTACTGGCTTGCTCCCCATGGCTTGCTCAGCCTGCTGCCTTATAGGACCATTTGCTCAGGGGTATCCCTACCAACATGGACAGGGCCCTTCCACATCAGTCCTAATTAAGAAAACTCCCTAAAGTCTTGCCTGCAGCCCAATCTTATGATGGCATTTTCTCAGTTGAGGTTCCCTCCTCTCAGATGACCCTAACTTGCGCCAAGTTGAAATAAAACTACCCATCACAGATGCTTGAAAAGCTTGTTAATATTGACAAATTGTATTATAACTTACCATATATGAACCAAATGGGTAGATATGTTTTTACATTTTCTCTTGTGCCTTGTGCTTGTGATGTTGCTTATTATAGAACTACAGAATTACTATGTTGATTTGAGTTGATTTATTATTTATTATTGGTATGATGCCTTATAAGGTTAAAGAAATGAGTCATTGATTTAGAGCACTGTTTTTTGTTTTTATTTTTGTTTTGAGACAGGGTTTCTCTGTATTGCTTTGGAGCCTGTCCTGGAACTTGCTCTGTAGACCAGGCTGTCCTCAAACTCACGGAGATCCCAAGTGCTGGGATTAAAGGTGTGCACCACCAACGCCAGGCTTAGAGTACTTTTTGTTCTTCTAGAAAACCTGGTCTCAGTTCTCAGCACCCATATGGTGTCTCACAGCCATCTGTAACTCCAGTTCCAGGGAATCTGATGCCCTCTTCCGGCTTCCATAAATACCAGACAAGCACATGGTATACATGCATACATGTAGACAAAACATTCATAGACATAAAAAATTAAAAAGTGAAAATTTTTTAACAAGAGGAAGGGCTCTGGATGTCATGAGAAGTATGGCCTTGTGTGCCACAGTGGAAGACATACTCTGGGTTCACTGCTTTGATTCCAGTGGTGCTCTATTCAGTTAGCTGGATGGATGAATGTCTTATTTTCTCTGTCTGCAGCTCCTAATTTTGTTAAGTTGGGATGAATAACAGTGCCTATCACAGAGGGTTGTGCCTTTTAATTTCTTTTAAGAATTTGATAAAAATATATAAGTACTTGTCCTATACCTGAATGCAAAACAAACAACCATTGGCTTTTGAGTGGCATTCTGCTACCATTATTGGTGCTAATGAATAGTTCTGAAAACTGAGACTTTTCAGCTTTAGATACTTCTCATGAGTAAAAACAAACAAACAAAATATCAGGCTCTTCCTTCCTGTTTCCTGCTTCCTCTCTTTTCTTCCTTCACTCCCTTTTGCTCTCTAGGTCAGCATATAGCACAGGTAGGTCTCAGACTCAATGATGCTCCTCCATCAGCTGCCAGGGGCTGAAATTACAGGCATGTACCACCATACTCAGCCTTGGAAGTCATTCTCATCTTGAATGTAGTAGTCTACACTACTAACAACTATACAGGATAACCCTGTGGGTTTTTTTCCTCCATAGGTAATTTTAATGATCTGCAATGTTCTGAATGACCTGAGTGGATATTTTCGAATGAACTTTCAGTATGATTGTTGTCTCAGTGACCACTGTTCCCTGTTTGGGGCTCTTTTGCATTCAGTGGCCTTCCTGCTCCCTTGGTTCCCTTGGAAACACTATCAAGAAGGTGACTGGCTCAATGGACTTCATCTGGTAGTCTCCCTGTGCGCCTTTGACAGTACTCTTGCCTGGGTGCAGCAAGCCCAGTGTCGCTTGTTTGTAGAGACTTTCCCCAGGCATGAGAGCCGGCTGCAGCTAATGAAAATTAACCAGGTGGCATCTCTGCTGGGCTCTACCAGCATCCTCTTCTGTGGCCTTATCTCTCACAACATGGAAATCCTGCCCAATTTTCAGGCTGTTGCTGTCGTCATTGCCTTCCTGGCATCTACCAGCCTTTACAGTGGCATGTTCCATATGAGACATTTTGAATGTAAAAGAACCCCAGAGGAAACCTTCCTCTCCGAGAATGAACAGGAGCTGGCATGGACCTCCACCGTCTTACTGATGAGACAACTCTTGTCTCAGAGGAACTTCCACCTTTTCCTCATCATGAATTTCTTTCAAGTCTTTCACTTGACCTTCTTCAGTAACTTCATGATGATCTTTGCCGATAACCTCATTCCCATTGAGGTTCTCTCTTCTTCCGCAAGAAGCATCATGTATGGGGCTGGCTTCATCTGCCCTCAGGTATGTGAAGATTCTTCATGCATCTTCCTAGTGGGATAAACATGTGACCAAGTAGTATAGTAGTGTTGTTAATTGACTAACAACTCTAAATGAGAGTAAGAGTTCAGATGCTGTACAGGGTCCCATAGACAGGATAGAAAAACAAATGTAAAGCAAGCAAGGGAAGGAGTACAGTGAGGGCCAAGCAGCATGATTTAAAAAAAAAAAAAAACTTCAAAACTATGTTTATCTATTATGTGTATTTATGTGTTTGTTATGTGTTTCTCACTATATAACTTTGGCTGGCCTGGAGTTTGCTAAGTAGACCAAGCTAGCTTTGAACTTAGAGAGCCACCAGGCCTAGAAAATTGTGTGCACATGTGATTTATGTGTGTGTTGGGGTGGCCTGTGAAGGTCAGAAGACAGCTTGGAGGCGTGGTTTCTATCTTTCCATCATGTGGGTTCCAGCGACTGGTTCAGCTTAGTGTCAAGTATTTTAAACATTTGGTCTCTTTGGTCAGTATTTTAAACATTTGGCTTTGAATCAAAGCACCCGCAAAACTGAGGAAAAAGTAAATGGCTTCCTTTGAGTGTATAATTTTGCTTTGTTCAGGCATTTAAAATTTTGTCTTCATGGGAGAAATCTTAGAAACAGCAGAAAAGAAAGACAGGGAAAATCAAGACACATGGAAAGGGAAAGGAAGTCCCTCACCCCTGCTGGCTAAGAATCAAGGACTCTTATAAAGAAGATTATGAGTCATCAGGAGTCAGAGTTTAGGCCTGGAGTTCCTTATGACCCATGTAGCTTGAGGATTCTTTTAAACTTTGACCTATGTGTTTGTTTTTTCTACCAGCCCCTCAATAACCACCTTATAATCTCATTTAGTAAATACTAAAACAGTTTGTACTCTTTTCTTTTGAGATATTGCCACTCTGTAGCCCAGGCTGACCTAAAACTCATGGTGGTCCTACCTTAGCCTTGGGAAAGTTCTGGGATTAAAGGTGTGAGCTGTCACACCCAGTATGCCTAACCTTTAACCCCTTTATTGATAGAACTGGAGAAACCATTGAAACATCTATAGACAGCTATTATTAGGACTCTTATGAGTAGCTGGGAATGATGGTTTATGCCTGTAATCCTAGTACTCAGGAAGGCTAAGGTAGGGGGACTGTTACATGTTTGAGGCTAGCCTTGGCTACAAAGTAACACCAAAACCTAAAACTAAACAAAGCAAAACAAAGTACACAACAAAAAAGACATTTAAATATGACTTTTTTGAGAGCCTCACAACTGTATTACTATTCTTTTCTCCACACCCTCCCCATCATTTCTTAGTAATTGTTGATTAAAACAAACCAAAACCCCCCACAAGAGTCAACTTGATCAAGAATTCATGGAGCAGGGTTTCAAAACACTTGGCTGAAAACCTGAGTCCTGGAACCTCAGAGCATTATTAAAATTCCGTGGCCATGACTCTTATGCACTATGGTATGTTCCCTGTTAACCATTTGGAGTGCTGACATAATTGCTACCTTCAGCCAATTGTGTCATCTAAATCTATGACTTAACCTAGCCTGTGATACAAGTTTCTTCTAATTTTGCAATTAAATAATGGGTAAAACTTGGTACTTAGACTCTTCAGGGGTTAAGGGATAAGCTATTCTGCATTGACTAGTGTATTAACTTTTCTTAGCACCATAACAAAAAGTCTCACATAAACAGCTTAAAAGTTTCTTTTGATTGACAGTTTCATAGGGTTTGGGCTGTGTTTGCTTTGTCACATGCACTTGGGCCAAGTAAACCACATACTGGTAGTGGGAACTGGTGGTAGAGGCTGTTTTTCACTTAATGGAAGGGATGCAGATGGAGGGGATGGCTGTGCTCTGTTGGCTTTCCTCTTTTCCCCTTTTATTATATTCAGGTGTTTATCCCATGGTCTAATTGCTGACCACATTTAGGATGAGTCTTCTCCCAGGCCCCTAGACCCCTAGAGGTGTTTGTTACCAATATCCAGGCTGGGTTTGAACTCACTGCAGACTGCAGTTCTCCTGACTCCTAAGATTCTGCTCTGTTCTTATGAAGCCTCAAGGAGTCAATCCTGGAAGCTCCAACCTCCAGTCTTAGCCATCCTACTTGCCTCTAAAGTTGTACTGTTTCCTCTCTAAACTTTGAGTTTTTGAGGGAAACAAAATGTATTCAAACTATAGCACATTCCCTTTATGACTGGGTGATACTCTGTTGTATCATTTTACTCATTCATTAGTTGATAGCAGTGAGTTACTGGGCCAGCCTTTTTTTTTTTTTTTTTTAATTATTTGTCGATAGTGCACTAGCTATATTTTAAAGAAAAGAGATTTAGGACTGGGGATAAAGCTCTGTGATAGAGTGCTTGCCTAGCATATGAAAGGTTGTGGGTTCCATTCCCCAGCCCTGAAAAGAAAAAAAGGAAAAGTTTATTTTGCTCAAGATTCAAGGTTGAAGAGAAGTTGTATTTTGCACTTGCTAGTAGAGTCTTAAGGCCATCAGATCATTGCAAGTCAAGAGACAGCACACTTGGGTATATACATGTGAGTTCTGCTTTGTTCTTATGAAGCCTCAAGGAGTCAATCCTGGAAGCTCCAACCTCCAGTCTTAGCCATCCTACTTGCCTCTAAAGTTGTACTGTTTCCTCTCTAAACTTTGAGTTTTTGAGGGAAACAAAATGTATTCAAACTATAGCACATTCCCTTTATGACTGGGTGATACTCTGTTGTATCATTTTACTCATTCATTAGTTGATAGATATTTAATATATTTCCACATTTGCTTGTGCACATGTATCTGAGTGCACTATAAGTGTGCATGAGCTTGCAGAGGTCAGAAGGGCACCAGATCCCCTAGAAGTGCAGTAACTGGTTGTTGTGAGATGCAGTGTGGGTGCAAAGGTGCAAAGACCTGAACCCAGGTTCTCTGAAAGAGTAGTACACACTCTTAACTGCAGAGACATCTCTTTAGCCCCAGTTCTACTAAAAAGAGTATTGTGTGTACTTGTGTATAGACATGGACATGCCACTGGTGGGGTGTGTGGAAGTTAGAAGACAACTTGTAGGAGTCAGTTCTCTCTTTCTACTATGTGGGTTTTGGGGATAGAATTCATGTGCCTTTACCCTCTGAGCCATCTTGCTGGCCCCTATTTCTACTTCATAATATTTCTCTGAACAGTAATGTGAAGTTTTTGCATGAACATATATTTTCATTTCTTTTGGTATATATCTAGAGATAGAAAGGCTGCCCCATATAGTGATCATGTGCTTTGAATTCTGAGATACTGGAGAATTCCCAAAGTTGCTGCATAATTTATGCTTGTAAAAGTGCAAAGAGTTTCCAGTTCCTTCAGTCTTTGCTAACATTTGCTATTATCTGTCTTATTTCCTACAGCAGTCTTCCTGTGTATAAACGACACCCCACCATGCTTGGGCTTGCATTTCCCAGATGGCTATGAAGTGAATGTTGTGTGTGTGCTTTGGAAAAATTTCTGCCTAGCTTATTTGCCCAATTTTTAAATAAGTTGTTTTCTAATTTTTGTTCATTATGTATTTTTAAAACCACACTTCATGTCTATCTCCTAATTTTTTATTTTAATTAATTTTGTGTGTATTTGTATTTGTGTATGTGTGTGCAGTGTATGTGCATGTGTGTGCAAGAGCATGTAGAGGCCAGAGAACAACCTTAAGTGTCTGGCTGGTCAGCAAACCCCAGAGTTCTGCTCAATGGTCTGTGTTTCCTCCAGTCCTAAGGTTTTTTTTTTTTTTTTATTTGTTTGTTTTTGGGTTTTTTTTTTTTTTTTGAGCTGGGGTCTTGCTATGTTCAAACCCAAGATCATATTGCTTCTGACTCACAAGTGCAGGATTAACACATATGACCCACACTCAGCACTTATATTTTTATTAATGAGTTATATTGGCACTTTATAAAATTTTAAATATAATATGTTATCAGATAGATTGTTTATATTTTCCCAATTTCTTGATAGCATAGAAAGTGAAAGTCAAAATTGTTTTAGTTACTTTGGTCCCTTGAACATCTATATGAATTGTAGGATCGGTCTGTCCATTTCTATGCAGATATTAGCTGGAATGAGACACAGTCCTCCTTCCTCAACATCTGCAGTAGCTGGGACTGCAAGTCTGTACCCCTAGGCTTTTAAATTAACCTGTTTATCTACATTTTGCCTCAGGGCATTTTCCCTTTTCTTTCTATATGTCCTACTTTCCTGGTTCTTCCATGTCTGGCTGACTGGTGGCTACCTGGCTGGCCCCCAGTGTCTCCTTCCCTTTCTCCCTCATTCTCTCCTCCTCCTCTCCTTCTACCCAAGCCTAGATTTCTCCTATTTATTCTTTCTGACCGATAGCCCCGCCTATCTTTTCTCTGTTTAGATATTGGCTCTCAGCTCTTTATTAGACCAATCAGGTACCTTAGGCAGGCAAGGTGAAACAGCAATACATCTTTTTATAATTAAACAAATGTAATACATCTTTACATCATTAAACAAATGCAGCATAAATAAATGTCAAACATCTTTACACAGCTAAAGTAATATTTGGTAGCATAAACAAATGTGACACGTCTTTGCCTAGTTAAGATAATACTCCACAACAAAACCATTTCTTCTAGTCCTAGCATTTCCTAGTTGCCCATAGTTTTTTGTCTAGGACTAAGGCCTGGCAAACTTTACCCCTTCCACATTAGTATGTCTATTGATGATGTCATTGTTCAGGTCTTGCTTAGGTAGCTATACTGATAAAACTTCATGGTTGTAGCCACTCTGACATTTCTAGGAAACAGAATCTCACAACAGATTTCCTGTCTCAACTCTTACATTCCTTCTGATCCCTCTTTTGCAATAATCTCTGAGTTTTAGGAATTGTTTTGTAGATGTATCAGTTAGAACATGGTCTCCATATGATCTCTTATTCTCTGTATTTTGATCTGTTGTTTTTTTGTAATGGTCCCTACCTGTTGTAAAGAGAATTTTCTTTGA